TCCACTACAATTCCATGGAAAATAATGAACTTTTTACTCCACTACATTTATCTGACAGGTGTACTAGTTACTTTTCAGATTAAAATGGTACATAGAAAGCTTATAAAACACAACACTCTTATAATTAAATCAGTGTTTCTCAACCATTTGGGCTCGTGACAACCACTTTCATTTCAATTATCAAGTATTTCACACAAAAAAACAAAGATAAAAGTTTAAAAAATGAAAACAGATTTTTGTGTCAGAAAATAGTTTTTTCTCCTTTCCTCCACCATTAATCGTCACCCATCCCCTGAGTTTCATCTTGTGACCCTTTGGAGGAGCCTGACACCCAGGTTGGGAACCACTGAACTATGCATAACTGTATATAAAGTATTTAAAGTTAGCTCCACTTGGACCAGTTACAACAACTACAACTATTTTCTGCAAAATCTGTATTTTTATTTTTAAAACCTGAGGTAAATTTAGCTGGTAATAGTTCTCTACATTACTAAAGTAGGATTTTTAATGTTGGACTTGTAATAAGAGTATTTTAAATTGTGGTATTGGTACTTTTACTTAAGTAAAGGATCTGAGTATTTCTTCCACCACTGTTATGTAATAGAGCTGAAGAAGTTCCAGAAATTGTTTGTGTAACAAGAGTGAGAGTTAGCTGTCTCAGTAGCTTGGATTGGTCCTGTAGGTCTGTTTCTATCATCAGCCAGCCATCTTCCTTCAGTGCTGTCATGGAAATACTTTTGAATGTCATGCATGTAAACGTCTGCCTTCAACCGTCTGCCATGTTTACATGTGGATCACTCATGCTAATAAAAGCCTGGTCAGTGCTTCCTTGAAATCATCTTCAGTGTAATTGGTCAGACAAGACCCCCCCCCCCTCTACTGTAACCCTGCTTGGCATTTTCCTGTCTCCCCTGTGTGTCTGTCTGTGCAGCAGGGTGACCTCTGCTTTGAGTGGGTGTTCTGTTCTAAACATACTGGAAGACCATCTGAAATGTTAGCTTGTAGCCTGTCAGAGCACAGTGCGCTGTAATCCAACACTTACAGATACACACACACACACACACACACACACACACACACACACACACACAGCTCTGGACATCATGTTTGGCTCCAGAGCTTGTTGAATTGTGATAGTCTGAAGCAGATCAACAGCCAAACAGGGGAAACAGTCATCTGTGTGGTTAAATGCAGGTTAAACTGTGGGGGAGGCATAGTTTTAGCAACAGATCAAGAAAAGGAATTTTAATCTCTGAGGGGTGTGCCTGAAAAAAATATGTTTGTGAGCGCCTATGTGCACAGGACAAATGCATGTCATAAATGTCATCTCAATGGGGGGTGTACCTCCTCCATGTGATTTACATATCCCATTTGAGCATCAGGATTATGTCATCAGAAACTCTTGCAAAGCCTGCTAAATCACACTGATGAGTCTGACAGTATATCCCTTGTGCAATGGCAAATATGAAGCTACAGCATGTACATTTCTAGATTTAGTTTTATTTATTGTCATCATGATTTGAAACTCTTTCTGGGGTCATTTCAGATTATAACACTGCTTTCATCATATTTAGTAGCTAATTCAAACCAGTCTGTCAGTTCAAATGATGTCAGAATAGATTAAATGATACCAAAAAAATTTGAAATATCCATTTGTTTGATACTTCTGTGAGATTGGGCATGCAATGTCATTTTTTAAAATTGTAGATAGATGCTTCAGTGGAAAGATGATACAGTAGATTAATCTGGTGTGTTGCCTGCTGGGCTAGAAGACTGCAGTTTTCGTTGGCATAATAACCCAGTGGCCTTAATCCTGCTCCATAACCACAGGGGGGATTCCACTGCTGCTCTCCCACTCTTTATACCTTCCATTTGGGCATCAGCACGTGCAAGGATCTGAGCTGGAAAGCACAGGAAGATGCCATGATTTCACCAGTCATGTGCGAGCTGACTGTATCTGACCCGCAACAATGAATAAAAAGAAAACATCACAGTCTGGCTCTGATGAGGTATTTCTTACTAAAAGTGATAAGAGACAAAGGATTTCCTAAGGAAGATCAAAATGTGCTCCTTTAATCTGTCTGCCGCGACACAAGATCAGAAGAGAGTTGGAAAATCATAGTAGTGTGTGAGGCCAATTTCCATCCTCGGCCAAGTTGAAGTCATTCATGAGCGCTTTGGCATCAGGTAGCTGGAGGCGTGGGAGCCTGAGCGTGCCCTTGATGACACACACATTAATGCACACACAACCACCCCCCAATAGGACTTATAGACTGCACCCTCGCCCTGCTGGGGCTGCAGTGTCCGCCTGCATCTGCCTCTGAGGGGGGGAAGAATCTGATGCTATCTGGCACTTCTGTGCCATACATGTGTGTCATACATTTGTTCTGTATAACCACAACACAGCCTTTAATAAGCCCTCAAGCAATGACTCCACATAAATAGTCAATATTAAGCAAATGGCCTGCAGGATTCATGCTTGAGTCAGAGCTGGAGCTGTACTTGAAACATTTGTGACCATGCTGCCTGTGGTGGCATAAGTACATTGTTATTATGGCAAATGAATATCAGTAGAATATTACTACATTGATTATATAATTAATTTTGTTGAACATAATTATGACATTGATTGAAGATGCAGAAAGTGCAATAAAATGGTTTTGTTTTCCAAATGAGCAAATTATACTGAACATAATATCTAAGAAAATACAGGATTTTTGCAATATAACAAATGTTACAACTTTCCTCTAAATAATTAAAGATTTATGCAACCAAATGTAAGTTATAGACTCAGACAGGACATTGCTTCTTCAAGCAAGGTATAAAATTGCTAAGAGGGACACAGATTTCTGGGGAGATTAAAGAGATTATGCCCAAGGCAGGGTGGGAGAACTGGAGCCTAATGTTCTTTAACTTATTGAGGGGGAGGTCTTAACATTGTGATGGGAGGAGGAGGAAAGGGAAGAGTCTTTCACATTGAATTCAAGTCTGAAATTCAGCCGGTGAATGAAATTAATTTCTTCTCAGACTTTGTGAGGAAATGATGGTCTGTGAAAATCCAAAATATAGCCACATGGAAACAGTTCCCCCCATTGTCCTGTTCAGCATTCCTAGCATGCCAGATTGGTTGTATATACTGTACATACAGTAAATTGAACAGTGTTAAGAGCCACCATCCAACCACTGCAGTTACTGCTTAGATTCTGTTGTAGATGCAGAGATTTTAGACTGCACAGATTTCATAACGGCATGTCTTTTGTCTCTGTGTTTAATGTGTTTTTGTCTCTATATTTAATGAGTGTGTGTGTGTGTGTGTCTGGCTCTTTGTTTCCGGTCTTGTGACTGCTGTCCCTTTGTTCTCAGTAGGGATACATCTGTTCTCTGTCTTTACCCCTTTCTCATTCTTCACAAGGTTGTAGCTGCTGTGTGTCTAGTTGTTATCATAACTCTCCCATGTGCGTCTTTCATCTTTGACATCTGCACTTTGTAGCAACACTGAAGCTTGAGGAGTGAGATCTTTTTATACTTCTCAAGTTAACATGCATTGGGACCTGATCAGTAGTCCTCCTAGTCTGCCCTTAGGAAGTCTTATATCTGTGCTCCCTGCTGTCTGATGCTGATCCACATCTCACACTGTAGCTCCTCATGACCATCCCCTCTGTGCGCTGCAGTATGGAGGGACAGACCAGAGGACGGGGCCCTGCCGCAGTCTTTGTCTGCTCTGATTGAGACTCTGTCTCAGTGGTTGTCAGTGGCCCAGATTCAGATTCAGGGTGTGAACCCAAACGAGGCCCTCTTCCTTTTACTCCTCTGCCCATTCACTCTCTTTCTGTCCTTCATCATAATGAGCCTGAGCTCAGTTAATGGCTCTCAGATGAGAATATCACCGCTCTTCGGTGGAAAGCAGTCCATACTTTCTGCTCCTTTGGGAATCATATTGTCTTTTTTAAAAGAAAATTTCCTAAGAAAACATAACAGCAGCACACATTTACACGACGCGATGGAAAAAAGCACAAAAGATTAGTGTGGATATTGTTGTGTAGCTCTGTGACTGTGCTGTTGTTGGTGACTCAGCTCAGTTTGTGTGAGACACTTTGGTGCAGTGTTTCAGTCTTCCTAAAGCAGTCCCACCCTGTATTAGTTACTGCGTGAAGGTGATGTCCACCTCTGTGTCTGTGCCAGGAGACGGCTGCGGGGGGGACTCGCTGACTGTTGAAGGACATGACTGTGGCAGATATAGAAGCACTAGGGTGGCGCATGTGTTGTACTGCATCATCACACTACAACATGCGCGTCCAAAAACAGTCCTAATATCTTGTGCAGTACACTGTAATGGCTGGAACTTTATGTGGATCTTATAGTTATAGTCTTTCTACTTTGGGGAATTCCCTCTCCAGTTAAGAGAATAATCCGACATAACTTAGGGCCATATACATACTATCCTTTTGTCTTTAGTTCCGGCAGCTGGTAATGCTGAGTGCAGCTTCCCCAACCTGGCCTCCCTGTTAAATCCACAGGCATAAGAGCTATTTACTCAACAGAGTCAGTGGGACATTGAATCCTAAATCTCTTCCCTTCCTCACGCTCCACTGGCCCAATTATGAACCCAATCACAGCAGCACCTACCACCAGGACACTGGCCACTGTGTGGAAGTGAATAAATGAGTGAATAAATGAGCGAAAGAGTGAATGAAGAAGTCACAATAGGAATTTTGAAATACAGAAAGTTAGAAAGGAGTCGGAAGTTTCAAAAAAAAAATAATGAAGCAGTTTTGGTTTCAGTGCAGATACTTCAGTTGAAAAGAGTTGCTTGTGTCAACACAGACAATGGGAGGTTTCCTATTGTGTCAGCTGCAGCTGCATTTTACTGAGTGTGAACATGCTCTGACTGTTAAACTGTATCAACGCTAACCATGTTCCTTCTCCTTCTCTCTGTCTTTTCCCCTGGTTCACCCGTGGGTTTCTTCTGTTTATGATGGACTGTCCTTCTCATTCAACAGGAAACAACCTAAGGTATGTACACTTCATCTGTCTCTGTTGTAACGCTAAAAAAAACTGGCGTGGATCAACAGAGCTGACGTGCAATGTCTGCATAAACAGTCAGAAGTTATTTTAGTGCAAGTAGCCATTTGTAATGACCTCTCACTCCCTGTGCTGGCATGACAGATACCAAAATAATCCTGTGTCTGGATGTGGCACAGGCAACACTATTCCCCTGAGGCTCTCAGAGGCATCCTGCACAGGTCCACTGTTGTCTATCTACTGTCGTGGCGTTGTTTCTAGGGACGTGATTGAGAGTGTTTTAGCAGTTTGGTTGGTCAGCAGGAGCCGGATGGATGTCCGTGTGAATGTGTCAGTGCTCTAAGATCTTGTGAACACCCACAAAGGTTCTACAATGAGAGAGGGATGAGCGCGGACACTGGGGCAGTGTGTGTGCGCATTCAAAGCTGCATTGTTGGAGTGCCCCCCCACCTCCCCCCTTGACAACACGCTGGTGACTAGCTCAAAGATGTTTCACACACCAGGGACAGGCTTTGTACCCAGTACACTCAGCGGCTGATGGAACCAGAGAGCGTTAGCATGGGCCACAGGCATGCATGGTCTCTGGGGCCCGTGAACCTGAGTTACCCTGTAATATCCCTCAGCTAGACGAGCACGTGGCTGTCTAAGTTATAGTGGCACTCAAATCAGTCTCCCCGCATTCTAAAGGGTAAACAGACGCTGCAGTCCAATCACATTTGACCAGTTTTCATCCTAGAAATGACAAAAAGGGCTTTGTGCTTTTCAGCTTCATCATTATTTGTACTGCTGATTAATAGTAATTGTCCAATCAAGAACAATTTGTTGCGCAGTCACACCCTCAGGCTGGAGAGAAGCAGAGCAGAGGAGATTGAAGCCCTAGTTACCAAACCAGCTCTAATTGAGAATGATGGCACTTTTGTTCCTTTGAATGGCACCCACTCACTTGTCTGAAGTCACTAGAGGAGGTCTTGCTTTCAAAGCATTCAGTGATCTCAGTGCTTCCCATGCTGACTGTGCAACCAGTGGTTCCCTGGCCAATAGCCCTTATTATGATTAGAAGGGAGTTCAATTATTTCGGGGTATTTGTGCTGGGGAAAAATGCTTTGGCAGCGCAGCAGCAGTGCACTGAAAGCCAGGAGTAGTAACATGTGCTGCACTGCTGAGCGTGATTTGAAGGATGACAGAGCAGTAGCAATTGTGTTTTGTATCTTGGAGGAAATCTTAAAAAGAGAAGTGGCTGAACTTGGATAAAAATAGAAGTTTTGTCCTTCGCCAGGAAATGTAGCAATAACAATGAGTTGCAGACAAACAGCATAAGAAAAATAACAGAAAATATGGCACAAAATCACAAGTAGATAGAAAGTTCAATTATAAATCAAGAATGACTTTACAGTCAGGTAAAAGATTATATCCTAGAAACAACCTAAAAAAACAACCCAAGAGCTGTCTACAACTATGGAAAACACTAAGACCAATTCAAAAGAAAACACGTCAAGAAAGAGTTCACTCTCTCCCTGCAGCAAAAACTTTTTATAATTTTAGATCTAACTGAAGAAGATTCCACATAAATGTTCTACTGTTTCATTTTACTGAATTCAGTGTAGACTTTGGGAAGTTACATCTCTCATATCTGCCCCAAAAATATATATCAGTGCATATTGTGCTCCAAAGTGCTGTTAAAATCCACTTAACTTAAACTTAAAGTTATGGTCAAAATCAGTAATTACAGTAATGACCTTTGAATCAACATGATAAAACCTCAGTGAAGAGTTGCAACAAGTCAGAGAGTATTTAATATGACAGATATTATTGCAGCTACTTCAGAGAGAAATTTAAGAGGAACATTAGAGCACATAGGCGTTCAAGTGAATACAGTAACAGGAGCTGCTCTGTCTGTGAGGAGTGGGGGGTCCTTGGTAAATGAGGCCACTGGTCTTTTCCCACAGAGCATCCTCTCTGTGTGTTATCCATCCAGAGCTGATGCAGGTGCCTGGGGAACACAAAGACTCTCTGCTGCCGAAGTCTGTGTTGTGAGACCCAGCGCTGAGGGCTCAGAGCCAGCCTCCACCACCAGCAACAGCCCCGTTTCCTTGGAGACGAGGGTCATCGGGTGCTGGAATTTCTTCTGGGGAGCGCTGACCCTGATTTATGAATTCATTTAACTCCAGCCACTATGACAAAACATGGGGCAGCTAACAGTGGATTTGTGCAGACAATCATGGCGCGGCCCTAACGAGCATTACCTCCAACAACGGTACTTAGGTTAGACTTCATCTCCCTCTCTCAGACAAGCTCGGTCCTGCTGATTTACTGCAGGGTGGCATGGTAAAGCACAATAAGCCTTTTTTTGTAGAAGGAGAGGTGAGACCACGACTAAGAAAGTGTTGTACTGTACATGCTTGGGCAGGTGTGAGAGCCGTGTGTGTGTTTACACTCCCTGTGCCGTCTCCTCTGCAGGTGTTCGCTTTTGACCACTGTTTCTGGTCCATGGATGAGTCCAACGTTCCCAAATATGCTGGTGAGTCATAAATACTGAAACTGATCCTTCACTCATCACCAAAGAACTAAAATCATGCCCCATGTAAGAACCTGCTGAGCTTTGTGTAATAATAGTGCAGGGAAACTCCCAACTTGATGGGAAGCTGTTTTTTGCATCATGCAAAGCAAAGTGCAGTGTGGGTGTATATACACAGTGATTTGCATGTTGAATACATTAAAATATATAAACAAGGCGGTTGTTTTTTTATTGTCTCAAAACAATAAAATCATCATGCAGTTTAGTTCCATATATTTTAAGATATGACACACTTGTATTTGTCACACGTACAACAAATAGTAATATGAATACTGCAGATTGTTCTCATTTGCATTTCATATTGTGCTTTAGCAACTAATCTACTGATGCTTTACTTCTCATGCATCCGCTCACATGGTAAATTCAATGTCTTCAGCTTCCATTCATTTCTCTATTGAGTTTGGCACAGAGGAGGTTACAGCTTCAGTTTTTTGTAACATCTATAGAAAAGAGTCCGAGGCAGATTTACATAATACATTATGCTCGTCATAGCGCTCTCATTTTGTGATGGGGATGTAATGCATACATCTGCTTTGTGCTGAACCGACAAGGCAATCTGGTCAGTGAAGGGCTGCCTCGAGGGCCCAGGCCAAGGCTTTATTTAGCTCATTAAACAGCTGTCCCATTCAGTAGGAGCACGACTGTGAGCAACACAAGAGATTTCTCAACACAGCCCGGCATTTTCCACACGACCAGACAGGAATCTGTCACCTTTCATGAATCTTGGTTTCTTGTTCGGTAGCCCTCGCTGATATATTTCTTTGTACTGTACTGATTATTGAGGAAGACAGACAGATAGGAGCGGATAAAAGTACTTGTGTAACTGAATGTTTTTTCTGTTTACCATAATCTCCATGGTGACTGATTCTTTGTCTAAAAAGGTCAAGAGGTGGTGTTCAAGTGCCTTGGAGAGGGAATACTTGAAAATGCATTCCAGGGATATAATGCCTGCATATTTGCCATAATGCGACAAACAGGTAACTGAAAATCCACATGTAACCTCCACTGAAAAAAAATCCATTAAACCATGCAGTTTTTAAATTATTTATAAATTATGAATTGCCTCTCTTACACTCAAAGTTAAGTCTCTAAGTACATTTGCAGGCCAAATTGTCTCCAGATGTGCAGAAGTTTAAAAGAACAGGAAGATTTGTATTTGTGATCACACTGGTGAATCACTTAACTCATATCCTTCCTCACCCTGGAACAAATTAGTTTCTTCTTTATCCCTCTTCCTGTCTTAGAGGGGAAACACTAAGGAGACACACCTATTTAATTGTTTGAAGAGAGGAGCACAAATATTGCAGCTCCCTGCCAGTCACATGATGTTTGAACAAAAAAGAAGTATGTAGAGTAGAGTATTGTACGTGCTAAAATCAACACTTAAGTCATGCAGGGAACCACATACACACGTGGCATTTGATTTGGCATTTCTAAGCCACACTAGCAGCTCTAGGGATGGAAAATTAAGTTTCATCATAATTGAAGCGCTGTACTGTATTGCCTTCTCTCTGTGGGGGATACAATTATGTGTGACTCTGCTGCATCCATCCAGGTTCAGGCAAGTCCTTTTCCATGATGGGGAACGGGGAGCAGCCGGGTTTAATCCCTCGACTCTGCTGCTCGCTGTTTGAGAGGGTCCACAGGGAGGAAAATGAGGCTCATACTTTTAAGGTGGAGGTGTCTTACATGGAGATCTACAATGAGAAGGTCCGTGACCTGCTGGATCCCAAAGGGTGAGTCTGATTTGTGCTCTTGTACTTTTTCCTCAGAATAAGCGCATGTGACGTGTATCAGCTCACTGAATTAAATGAGTTAATGTTGCTTTGCTAATGCTTTTGACCTGTTGTGACAGCAGCAACTCGTCGTTACACCAACTGTGTCATTTCCTCATAGTCTCGCTTTACTCCAACTCCAGCACGAGCAGTGACCTCTCCGTCAGCTCCCACTTTGTGCTGCTTTGCATGTCTGTTTATAGCTCTGTTGTGTCTAGTAGCCTGAATGGGGGACGGCGACAGAATGATGTGAGTAGGTAGCTCAACCCAGTCATTTCCTGCAGAGCAGCGGCCAGCGTCGTCCTCTGACACTGCTGTGTTCTTTGCCTTCCATGGTCTGATGTGGGTTGGCAGACAGACTGCAGGGGAGGGCGAGCTGTGAAAGAGTGTGTTTCAGGGACATCTGTTTGTGAAGCTGGGAGCAGGAGAGCGGTCAGAGCTGCCTGTGAGCTCGAGCTCCAGAGACGGACTACAGTGCAGTGCTCTGTGTGCTGCAGATGTCGGAAGATGCAGGCGGACCCATTTCGATGGCAACTTCCTCTCGCTCGTAGTACAAGCCTCACACTCTCTTGATCTGCCGTTGTATCTGTCTCTGTGATTTTTGGGATGAAACATTAGCTGTGGTATAGACATGTGATATAGAAACTCCCACTGTGAGTTGGTAGCTGCTCTTTCTAGTGCTTTTATCCTCTTGTTTGCTGCAGTGGGTGGTAGATTACTAGACTGGAAGCTCTCTGCCAACCTCAGCCGTTCTGTAGCCATGGAGAGGGATTCAGTGACTCTTTCTGATCTATAGGATTTCTCCTCAACACCTGGCAGACAGCCAGGTGAAGATGAGCCTCAGTTTACTCACCTGCACCATCTAGTGAGACTCCCAACTACCCATAGTTTGACTCTGTGACACAGCGTATGTATTTCATTAGGATGTAATTCACATTTTGATCAGGAAATTCTCTCAAACAAGACCAAAACCAACAATAGACAGTCCCCACTTAACCAGTCTCGTCTCTCTCTGTGCCATAGACCGCCACTGTTTTCCAAAAGCACATCAGTGAGCCACACTATTGGCCCACGGAAACATCTTACAACAAAAAAATGTAACTCGACATCAAACACCCGTTAACATTTTATTGCTGCTCCTCGTTGATGGAGAGTTATTTCGACAGTGCACGACAGCCATTCCATTCATTTAGTAGTACAGCATAGAAAGAACTACACAACAATACAAGTGAAATATTTATGCTGTCAACATTTTTCTGGAATAGCATTGTTACCAAATAATAATAGGAGGCTGTTTCTAATTTTCCAGCAATGGATTTGAATTCATGTTCCCAGATAGAGGAAAAATAAGTCATATAAGCTTCTATTCATTTAAGTTTTCATTCATTCTGATCGAGCTGCCAAGGTCAGATGATGCGTTTTCAGCTTCTCCAAAAGGAGAATATGTTGAGCTGACATGATTTCAAGGAAGGATTGCAGGGAAAGGACATCAGAGAAAGAGGAATGTCAAATCAAGTGTGCATTATAAAACACAAATTCGTCTTCATTCTTTCTTTTTGCACATATGTATGTCCCTAACTGAAAATAGTAAGTATGTCCTCCCTGTTTCTTTCTTCTCTTTCTCTTACACATTGTGTTGCCTCTTCTCTGTCTTTCAAGGAGCCGACAGTCCCTAAAAGTTCGGGAACACAAAGTCCTGGGTCCATACGTGGATGGCCTGTCTCAGCTGGCTGTGACCAGCTTTGAGGTGCGTCTTTCACCCTTCTGCCATCGCACCGCACCGGAGGCGAGGCTGAATCCGCCCTGTATCACTGACCAACGTGCCTCATGTTTCACGTACACATTGACATGATTTATAGCACCCAGTAGGAATGACTGTATGTCACCTCCCTGGTTGTCAAGTCATTGATTTAAATTTGCAATAGAGAGCAGAAACTGTAACAACACATATTCCTGATAGGAATGTAGTCACGGGGTTTTGTGTAGCTGACATGCCAATCCTTGGCAGGGCCTTCCTTAATTAAGTTTAAACATCTCCGCCCTGTTCCTCTGTGTTCCTCTGGTCTGCCTGATATTGGTGCAGTGTATTTCCCATAGCCTTGGCTCACTGCCTGCTGTGACCCAGCTAAATCACATGGCACACAGCCGTATGCAAATACCACCTGACTTTGCTGGAATCATAATGTCGCCTTTGCAAGTTTTTCCAGTGAAACGTGTTCAAATTATATCCCTCTTTTCAAAGTCTCATAAAGCACATTACATGCAACTGTGACTAATAGTGGTGTTTTTTTTTTTTTCTTTCATGACCCCACCCTCTCTATCTTTTTAGGACATCGAGGTTTTAATGTCGGAGGGGAACAAGTCTCGCACAGTTGCAGCCACCAACATGAACGAGGAGAGCAGTCGTTCACATGCTGTCTTCAGCATCATTGTCACACAAACACTTTATGATCTACAGTCCGGGGTCAGTCTTTTCTTCCTTTTCACCGACGGACTTGACACCAAAACTAATGCATTTTTTTTTATCCTCTTAAATCTGTTTATTTTATGATGGCTCTGACTGACTGACTGTGCATGTTGTGATTGTAAACAGAATTCAGGGGAGAAAGTGAGCAAGCTGAGTCTGGTTGACCTGGCAGGAAGTGAGCGAGTCTCCAAGACCGGAGCTGCTGGGGAGAGACTCAAAGAGGGCAGCAATATAAACAAGTGGGTGTATTTTTGAAATGACAGCCATACAAATGTATAAAGTCCAATTAATCATTTGTCGGGTTAACCCTGATAGGGATGAAATAGATTTTGTTTTTGTGTCGTTTTAGATCTCTCACCACATTAGGCTGTGTGATTTCTGCTCTGGCTGATCAGTCTGCAGGAAAGGGGAAGGCCAAGTTTGTGCCTTACAGAGACTCAGTCCTCACCTGGCTACTGAAGGTCTGACCCACATATTATTACTACCCTTTCTCTTTTGGTCATTATAATAACATGTAATAGTACAATATCTGCTGGAATGCGACTGAATGTTTTCTTCTCTTCAGGACAACCTTGGCGGCAACAGCAAGACAGCCATGATCGCCACAGTGAGTCCAGCGGCTGACAACTACGAGGAGACTCTGTCCACGCTACGCTATGCTGACAGGGCCAAGAGAATCGTCAACCACGCCGTGGTGAATGAAGACCCCAACGCTCGGATCATCAGAGAGCTCAGGGAGGAGGTGGAGAAGCTCAAAGTTCAGCTCTCGCAGGCCGAGGTGAGAGGAGGGATTGGGTGGACCGGAGAGGCTCACAAATTAAGGATGAATTCATGCCAGAGCAATCACATGATGATCCAGACCGCACTGATACTGATTGTTTTCTTTTCTTTTTTTTTTCAGTCCATGAAGGCTCCTGAACTGAAGGAGAAACTGCATGAGTCTGAGAAACTCATCCAGGAGATGACTGTCACCTGGGAGGAGAAACTAAGGAAGACGGAGGAGATTGCCACTGTGCGCACATATGTTATAATAAGACTCCAAAATCTCAATTTTAATTCAGCATATTTAATCATACAGTATGACTGTTATTATCTATTTTTACAGGAGCGTCAGAAACAGTTGGAGAGCATGGGCATCTCTTTGGAAACATCTGGGATTAAAGTGGGTGAAGACAAGTGTTTCCTCGTCAATCTAAATGCTGATCCTGCCCTAAATGAGCTACTGGTCTACTACCTGAAGGTAATAGAGTTTGACACTGCAATACTCTACAAGTACAGTCAGTTTTACAATTAGCACATCAGGAGTTGTACTGCAAATAAAACATAAGCGGTATGGACTATGTACATTTAGCAGTTTAAATGTATTTTTGATGACTCAGTTTAAAACCTGAATCTGTCTCGCTGTTTCCTTTTTAAATTTCAACTTGACGAGCTCTAAAGACAGAAGAATACATTATCCTCACTGTACGACAATGTCCCAGTCTTTGCTTGCTCCAAGGATTCTTTAAGTATAATGTACAATATTTTGTAATGACACAAATAAACAAATAGAATAAAAATGAATAAATAATAAATAAACATAAATAAGTAAAATAAACAAACAAATAAAAATGGAACCTTAGTGGGAATCTCGCTGTTAATTTCAGACACATAGTTCATGATCCGGGCCAGATGTGAAATACAGTATATAACTGTGGGTACAAAAAGTACTTGGCCGAGTCAGGGGGATTTTCAGTGATGATCCAGAAGTGGGACAGCTACACTTTAAGATGTTAGCTGCCATAAACAAATAAGGTCCTAATCGGAGGAGATTGTGCTGAGCGCAAAGCTGCTGAAGATTGATATTTGCACTGGTAGCCACCACAGCTGTCACTGGTGTGTTGACATGAGGTGCGTTTATAAATTCATTGTGTAGCTGTGCTTATTTCCATGTCTTTTACTAGTTCTAAATTGCATAAGCTTTTCCTTATTCAAACCTGACTGTAAACCCACTTCACTATAACTCACTGCCTCACTGTACGACAGTATAGTGTCAAAACACCTCACACTGACTGTCTCTGTACGTAAGAGTAATACCGAAGCCCTGAACCATAAGACACACGTGTTGCAGTGATCCAGATGACAGTGTGAGAGCAGAGAGGAGTCCAGTCACAGCAGGTCTGGACTTTGCAAAGCGCTGAAGTGGAACAAGCGACCAGCTAGTTGGACCTGTAAGAGCAGAGGCATGTGAGAAAGCAGCCTGTGTGCCGTGCAGAACAACAGGCCTTTGTCTGGGTTCTGCAGACCAGCCTGGCATATCAGTGTGGAATGACTATGGTAATGTGAAATGGGTTAGTTCACTGCAGGGTAGGACATCCTCTAAGAGCTGGGATGTTTGTTCAACAACGCGAGAGACGCAAGTTTTTTCACTTACGCCTGGTCTCGCTTTAGTGTTATTCCCGATTTTCCCCCAAATTGATATGTTTTATTTTCTGCAATGCTCTTGTTCAGATCGGTCCAATGAATAGAAGTTTGTAGCTTGAAGGGTTATGACCGAAGAGTTGGAATAAGACATTGGATGTAATTACTTTCAGATCTGTCATTATAGTTTCCTTAACTTGTCCTCCACCTGTGTGTAGGAGCACACACGTGTGGGCGCAGACACGTCTCAGGACATCCAGCTCTTTGGGATCGGGATCCAGCCGGAGCACTGCGTCCTGGAGCTCTGCCCAGATGGTGACATCACCCTAACGCCCATAGGGAATGCCAGGTGAGCTACTGTACAACTACCTTTGACGTACTCTCTGTCTATCTATCTCGGCATATCTGTCTGTCTGTTGTCTCTCTCTCCCTCATGGATGACTGGACCTCAGTGTTTCACATGACCTCACTGTACTGGAATCTATGATCTGAGCTCCCTGCTTTGATATCAGAGCCACGTCTCCCTCCCACTACAAAGGGATTGTTCTTTCTCAATTTGTTTTCCCTTTTTAAAGCCAAAGATTATAATGCCATCTGACATCTTCGTTAACAGAATTTCTTCGTTCATTTCACCGTTTTCTGCAGGACCTGTGTGAACGGAACAATGATTGATTCCTTGGTGCACCTGTGGCATGGGGACCGTATCTTATGGGGCAACAACCACTTCTTCAGGTATAAGTTCTTTCATTCAAATCTGTGAGCAGTCATAGAGTTAAAAAAAAAAAAAAAAAGTCACTGATCGGAAGTCGTGTTGTGTCGTGTCTTGTCTTGTTATGTCGTGCCGTGTCATAGGATCAATCTGCCCAACCGAAAGCGGCGGGACCGTTTGAAGGAGCTGGAGAGAGCGTCTCCCAGAGAGAGCTACATCGAGGCAGATGTGGAGACCGCCAGCGAGGCCTCTTCTGAGCAGGACTACAGCTATGAGTTCGCCCAGATGGAGGTCATAATGAAGACACTTGGGAACAACGGTATGATTCGGATAATCTGCCTTCTGCAATCTACATGACCCTTCAGGCTTTCAGGCCGCAGCTGTATACAGTATATATTTCACTTAGGTTTCAGAGCATCCAGCTCGTTCCAGCTGCTCTGACCAAAATCATAAGAATCTTTTAGGAATAATATTACTTTAAAACAAAACTTTGTTTATCTCGTTGGATGTAATAAAGCCCCAATCTAGTTTTACCTCTCTGCCATTACTTTATTTGCTGATTATTGCCAGAAAATCCAAATTTTGATAGTGAGATGGAGCCTGGGGGGGGGCGGATGTGGGACAAACAAGCAGCTGCAAATGTGATTTCCTTAGACACCTCTCAGTCTTCAACAACTAATGATCATTTTCAGTGTCAGTTCTCTTGTTCGTTTGTTTATTGTGAAGACCAACGTGATGTCTTCAAATTACTTGTTTTGTCTGACCAACAGTCCAAGTCCAAAACACAGTCAGTGTATCACTAGCCAATATGAATATGATGTGATATGAAACAGAGAAAAGTAGTAACTCCTCATATTTAAGAAGATGGATGAGCAAATTTTGCTTCCAAATGAAAAGAAGCTGATTATGAAATCTCCTTTACACGAAGACTTGTCCAGTGTTTGGGTTGTAAAATTCTCGCCTGTGTGCAGACCCCATGCAGAATGTGGTCCAAGTGCTGGAGAAGCAGTACCTGGAGGAGAAGCAGACGGCCCTGGAGGAGCAGAGGATGATGTATGAGCGAGAGCTGGAGTCGCTCCGGCAACAGCTGTCTCCTGAGAAAACGCCGCAGCACCACCGCAGCAGCAGTGACCGCCTTACGTTCCCGACACACACACCACACAGCAAGCTGCGACTGTGGACGGAAGAGCGGTTAGTGGTGCACGTGCACACACATATGCACACACAAACACACACACACCCACACACACACACACACACACATGCACTGATTCACAAACTGGACACTGCAGTGAGGCCTGCCTCAAGAGTTGTTCTTTTTTATATTACTTGTTAAAATGTATCACTTGTGATTATTTTGCTTTAACCGGAGATGCATGAAATATTATTATATAGATTATATTCAACTTTTTAGGTATACATAGCTCTACACATAAACCAACATATACAAGCCAGTTGTGCCCTCAGTGTATTCTGAAATATTTGAAGCATGACGTCAGTTAAAAGTTATGCTCACATGGATTTTGTTCAGTGCTGACTCAGTCTGACTCCATTCTTGCAGGATCAGTGAAGCAGGCTGCTACGAAGCTCCACCTAACCATGACAATGCTCTGTGGAGTTGAGATCAGATTTAAAAATTGAATAGCGAACTGTAATAAACTCCATTTAGTCATCAAGTCAAGTTGTAATAACCCTGATAATGTGACACTTAATCCTATCTTTTGGAAGACGGTGCACTGAAGGCATGCAGTGAGTCGGTATCAATATTGTGGGTCACTGTAGCATCCAAACGGTCCAGATTTTTATCCCGAGGAGCTTTAAATTTGCCAAAAGAACATGTGATGCTATTGCGCAGTCCTTTTTTTGTTGGATTCAGCCTTGGTGTTGTGTACTTTACTGAGAGCTATTTTCCCCTTCTTGGCCTCTGTGGTTTGTGAAAATATCATTAACTTATAAACACAGAGGCTGGTGTACCTGCTTACATCAATCCAGGCTGACTGTACATCAAAGATAATCACAGGTCTTCATCTCCATGAATGAATGACCTTTTTGTGTGTGTGTGTGTGTGTGTGTGTGTGTGTGTGTGTGTGTGTGTGTGACAGAGATGAGCTTTTTCGTCAGAGCCTGTCTCGACTCAGGGAGCAGGTCGTGAAAGCCAACACCTTGGTGCGAGAATCCAACTTTTTGGCTGAGGAGATGAACAAACTGACTGACTATCAGGTCACCCTTCAGATTCCCGCAGCCAACCTCAGCGCCAACCGCAAGGTCAGACCTCTGAACTAAAAAGAATATGGTATCAACAGTGGTATTTATTTTACTGTCATCTCTTTCACTCTTTGGGCTGCACATTTTGATGATGATTGATTGGTGTGTATATCCACTAAAAGAGTGTAAATCTTGTTATTACGCAGCGTGGAGCCATAGTGAGCGAGCCGGCCATCCAGGTGCGGAGGAAAGGGAAAGGCACCCAGGTGTGGACCATAGAGAAGCTGGAGAACAAACTGGTGGACATGAGAGACCACTACAGGGACTGGAAGGAAGGCACAGAGGAGGTGGTGAGAAACAAGAGGACAAGAAAGAGGAAAAGATATGTGAAAAATAAAAATAAAAGTTAATTGGATTATTAAGTCTGCTCCTTTGTTTTTGCAGCATAACAAAGCAAACAGTAAGCACTGTGATCCATTCTATGAAGCGCAAGAGAACCACAACCTGATAGGGGTGGCCAACATTTTTCTGGAGTGCCTTTTCCAAGATGTTAGACTGCAATATGCTGTCCCCATCATCAGCCAGCAGGGAGAGGTAAGGGTACACTAACATAAACAGATTTACACACTGATAAATTATTCATGGTGCAGCTTCCCAGTATTCCTAACATACCAGATCCATATGATAGGGTTATGGGGCGAATATATCAGATTTATGATAATAGATAATATACTACTTGAAATTACTGATGGATAAGTTTTCATATAGACAATGTTCACTTGTAAAGACTGTATGTAAAATTATACCCTTGAATATCTAAGATATTAAGGATGTGTTTGACCGTTCTAAATGATAGTGATAATATCCTTGCTCTGCTCGTTTGTACAGGTTGCAGGCAGGTTGCACATTGAGCTGATGCGAGTCAGCGGTGCTGTACCAGAGCGCCTGTCCGGGGGAGATGACTCATCAGAAAACTCCAGTGAGAGTAGCTGCTACGAGGTTATGGACACCAACGGGGAGATCGTCCACATGTCCAAGAGGCTCACCTGCAGGGTAAAAGCCGCTTGCCAGGTTTTTTTTGTCCGTAGAATGCGAGATATTTGTTCTGAGACTTACCAGCGTACATGAACGCTCAGTGACTTCATCTTTTCCGTTTGTCTTCCTGCAGGTGCGGATCAGGGAGGCCACAGGTCTGCCGCTCAACTTGTCCAACTTTGTCTTCTGTCAGTACACCTTCTGGGAGCACGGCGAGCCCACTGTGGCTCCTCCCATGGTCAGCCCAGACAGACCCTCTCCTCGAAGCCCAGATGCCCAGTTCACTGTCCAGTTTGATCACTGCAAGGTGAGAAAATGGTGCTGCTTGAAGTTGTTAATGCCTTACTTTAAACGCTTGACACCAGTTTTAAATTCTTATCGCTTTTGTTAGTAACTTTTGTTTTCAAATCAGCCTCACTGCATCAAATCTTGTCTTTGTGCAGGACTATGTTGTGCACGTGTCGGATGAGTTCTTAGAGTTTATATCCGACGGAGCATTGGCCATAGAAGTTTGGGGTCACCGCTGCGCTGGGAATGGACGATCACTCTGGGAGTTAGACGCACTGGAGGCCAAGACCCAGACTCTCCGAGACAGGTGCGTGTTTCACTCAGACTTTTGCACATACAGACTCCCACAGACACTGCCAATTCACACCCCGCTAACCTTGGCGGTTGATTGTTCAAGGTGGAGTGAGGTGTCTCGCAGGATCGAGCTCTGGCTCTCCATCCAGGAGCTGAATGAGCAGGGAGAGTACTCATCTGTGGAGCTGCACTCTGGAAAAGACATCAGCACAGGGGGAGTCTTCCAACTCCGACAGGTCAGAGAAAAACTATGAAGAAGTTTCCCTTTAGGTCAGACTGCCTGCCCTAGATCAAACACACACTTAGGAGGATCATAACTAATTACGAATTTATGAAATAGTTTGAGAGTGCAGTGTTGGAAGCGGCACTCTGATGTTGAATTTCGGGGATTTGTCCAAGCAGGGTCACTCCAGGAGGCTGCAGGTGTGTGTGAAACCAGTCCAGAACTCAGGCACGCTGCCTCTGCTGGTGGAGGCTGTGCTGTCCGTCTCTATCGGCTGTGTGTCAGCTCGCTCCACCAAACTACAGAGACCGCTCGACAGCTACCAGGTCTGTGGGACGCGCATTTATTATTTTTGCATATGCTCACATACTGTTCACACACGCCACTTAGACTATGAATCTACGGTGTTCACAAAAACGGACTGATGATTTGGATGTAAGTGACTCTGCGTTAAAAACAGACCAGTGTTTTGGGAACAGTATGCTGGTTTCATGCCACACTATTATGCTGATTCCGCCAAAGTATGTTTAGTCTATCTCTGGTTTCATGCCAGGACTGGTTCGTCTGAGGAGCTGGCAGTCGGTCAAAGGGAGGCCAAGGAATGTACAAACTCATTAGTGCCCTGTTAGTTCTGTTAACGTGCACTGGTGTGCCCTGATACACAGGAACCAACTGGTTGATACATTTTAGTCTTTCACATCACTGATTCTCCTAGACAGTGTTAGCAGTGAAGGGTTTGCCCTGAGCTGTCATGTCAGGGCCTTTTGTGGTTCCCCACATGTGACTGAGTGTGTTCTCTCCTGCCAGAGAGAGGCGGAAGAGGATATGGATAGTTATCAGGTAACATTTCAGTTCCCTCCTGCTGCTGCTCCCCCTGTAGTTCACACTGCAGCATGACGGAAACCAACTGATTGTGTGTTCACGACTAGGCCTGTTGCTGAGGGCGTGAGGCAGGAGGCAGAGGGCTGCGCCTCTACCGTCTAAAGGATGGCTTTATTAAACAGCAGTTGCACATGTGGATGATTTCTGATGCTGCAATTATCAATCACACCAACCGTTCTTTGGCAGCCCTCTGTGCAAAAAACAGTCCCACCCATGGCAGAGCTCCCAGCCAGGAGCCTGTCTGCCAGGGATCTCGTCCCACTCTCTCTTGCCTTTCCGCTCAGGTTGCACACACTAATGCTACTGTTTGCTTGTCACTTCCGAAGAGCTGCAGGAATAATAAGCCTCACTTAATCACATGGGCATTGCATGGCTGCATGATTTACAGTACTTTGCATGGTGGACGTGTGCTGACGTCAGAAACGTAATGCATTTGGTTTTGAGGTTTATTGGTTACTTTGGACAATGCAGAGGGGAATCTGCTCTCTGTGGTGATCTGCTGTGAATCCAGGTAGGACTTTGGGTGGCTGTGGCTGCATGTGAGGACATTAGCGCAAGTGTGTGAATGCATGTGTGCGGATGTGTGTGAGTTGTTAACGGGCGAAAAGGGAGGTTTTGTGGTTGTGTTATGAAAATTTAACAACAATCATTTTTCTTGAACCAAAAACACAGGCCTGAAGGCTTTGATTTTTAACATCTTTGGTGTGGGAACTTTTTTATCAGGATTAGCTTCACTTGGCTTTTCTAATATATTAGCTGTGGGCGTTAAGAAGTGCATATGCTATTCAGCCCTTGCCATCCCCTGGTAACACTTTACTGAGCCCTGCAGCAGATTCTCTTCTCACTGAGCCAGCTGGCATTGATTTTAGGTCTGTGTGCTTCCAGGAAGAAGATCTCAACTGTGTTAGAGAGCGCTGGTCAGAAGCCCTGATCAAACGCCGGGAGTACCTTGACGAACAAATCAAGAAAATCATCAACAAACACGGTGAGTCCTTGGCTCTGTGCTTAAGATTAGTTTCTCTTCTTTTTTTATGCAATTTCTTATTGTTTCAGTGTGTTGTGATTAAACCTCTCTTTTCCCTCACTTTATAAATCCAGAAAAGTCAGAGGAGGACATTGAGCGTGAGGCTCGGCTGGTGGAGCAGTGGGTTGGACTGACAGAAGAGAGAAATGCAGTGCTGGTACCTGCACCTGGCAGTGGCATCCCTGGAGCTCCTGCAGACTGGTAAAAAAAAAAAAAAAAAAAACTATAAACACTCTCTCAATCACACGTCAGATTCACTTCATTTGCAGCCCTTTTTTTTTTTTTTTTTTTTTTTTTTTTTTTTTTTTTAAACATTAACCTCATATTCAACGGCTTGTAGGACCCCACCTACAGGAATGGAAGCTCACATCCCTGTACTCTTCCTGGATTTGAATGGTGAGGCAGACACATCCTGTATGTCAGCTAATATTTGACAGATTCTCTCTCAGGCTTTATAAACGCTAACTCTCTTTTACACCACCAGCGGATAATCTGACAGTGAATGAGCAGCTGACCGGCCCACATGCCGCAGGCGTTAACTCTATCCTGCCTAAGGAGCATGGAAGCCAGTTCTTCTATCTGCCCATCATCAGGCACAGTGTTGAGGAGGTGAGCAGTGGGGTTTGACTTTTCTGCCCTCCTGTGGTCAAAAAGGGAATTTGGGGAACCACACTTCAGAAGATGTGCATGTTTTTGTGCATTTATGTTTCTATAAGCATGGCATGGCGTGGCATGGCGTGGGGGTTTCTTGGTGATGCTGCTTTAGTGTGTCAGTTTCCCCTTTACAGTTGTAGTTTCAGAGGTTTGTGCTTTGTCTGATGACCACATCCTCTGCAAGACTACACTTGTATTGTACTTGTATTGTATTGTACTGCAAAACTACTTAAAGTATTGGCACTTCCATTGCTTCTTCAAATACCGGTTGGCTGTAGTATATTTTTGTAAAAAATTCAGCTGTTTTACAAAGACCTCATGATGAATTATGTTTATTTTACTGCCTTAATTGCAGGAACACTTTTTTTCCTTTAATCTGTTGCCTTATTGAACAAATACAGAGCTGTGTAATTGATTGACATCTTGCATATAAGCATTTACAGTAGTTATTTCTCAGAAAGGAACAAAAAGAACTAACATTAGTTGTGGTGCCTTTGGTTTCAGCCATTTTTTGTTATCTGTTAAAGCACCGCTACTCTTCATATTCTAAGAAGAAACTTATCAGTTTGTTGAGAGAGTTGTTGCTGTGTTCTAAAGTAATAACTGCTTGCACTGAAAAATAATATCCATAACTTTACTTATTTCAATCCAATATTGCTGCAGAACAGGACAGGTAAAATAAAATATGGGTGTGGTTGGCTTCTCCCTCCCCACATTTTCATCAGCAAACTGGTGTTACCAGTTTGATCAGTAAATCAATAGATGATGATAAAGGGAAATGTTTACTCCCTTCAATGCAGTGTTAAATATGTAAATAACAGGGAAAAGGAAATAGCCTATGGCCTTCTTGATCTTCCTGTAGACTTTCACTTACTAGAAAAAATTATCCTTGTGTTTTCTTCTCAACAAAAGATGGATAAGTAAGAAATGAGATTAATAATAAACAGAAAATAACTCACTTGGATGTCGTAGAAACCTACCTTTAAAAAAAGAAAAAAAAATTGAGGGGGGGGGACTTAACTAATGATATCAATAATAATAATAATAATAATAATAAAATTCAACATACTCCTTTTCACGTAAAAAATGGGACCTGAAATACATAAATTGAAAAGTTAGATGAAAAATATCTCTAGCAGTGAAAATGGAAAAGAAGTAATTTGGGGTTATATCATCTCAAACTCACTAGTGCAACTCCAGGTAATTTGTTAATTATACAGTACATTGATGTTTACAGCTGTCTTACCCCCTCTCTCAAGTTGAAGCAAGCATTTAAACATAATCATAGTTTCTCCTTCTTTGACTTTGATCAGCAGCACTAACCACACAGAGTTAACACTACCACTTTCACTGTGCTATAGTGTCATGTCATGTCTGCTGCAAACCCGAATCGACAGCCCACCTACATGACTGTGATCCGTGTCTCTGTGTGTGCAGTTACAGCATGATGGCACAGCATTCTCTCTGCAGACCACTGCGGAGCTACATCAATAAATCACAACTCTTCTCGTTCCCCAGGTGTCTGCTGTGTGCTCCTGGGACTCATCCATCCATGATTCTGTGCACCTCAACCGGGTCACGTCTCCTAACGAACGCATCTACCTGATCATCAAAGCCACGGTGCAGCTCAGCCACCCTGCCTCCATGGAGCTGGTGCTCCGCAAGAGGATCGCTGTCAACATCTATAACAAACAGGTGAATGGGGATCAGATTGACATCAGCCCAGGGGTGAGGTTAGGTGTGTCAGTGGATCTTGTTTAAATGTTTGAAACGTTTTTTGTTCTTTTTTTTCAATGCAGAGTTTCACTCAGAGTCTCAAGAGAAGAATGTCTCTAAAGAACACACTTTACTCCTGTGGTGTGACTTATGAGATCGTGTCCAACATACCAAAGGTACAACTCTGCTAAACCACTGTATCTAATGAAGACTGCTTTCCCCATGTGTTGCCGGTAACCAGATTGGGGCTCATCTTCTTCAACACTTTGTAAGTTTCTTCTCTTTCCTTTTCCAGGCCTCAGAAGAGCCAGAGGAGAGGGAAACCTTGGCCCTCATGGCTGCTCGCGGTGACAGCGAGGAGACTCAGGATGGAGAAACCTACATAGAGAAATACACACGGGGAGTTCTGGAAGTAGAGAACATCCTCAGTCTAGAGAGGCTACGGCAGGTATTGTATACTATAGTATGATTTAGTGCAGAAATAGTGCGAAAAAAGATTTCATCCATAGAGTGACATGTAAAGAAGGCACCTTTCTCTTCTTTTCCCCCGCAGGCTGTGACAGTGAAGGAAGCGCTCGCTGCTAAGGGAAGACACCTAAGAAGGAGTATCAGCACACCAAATGTACAGCATGTAATGAACACATCACTCACTGCACCACTCACTGAACCACATGGAAATGACTGTTATAAAAAATGACGAGGCTGAAAACATGTTTTTGTCTTGCTCTCCAGTCTTCATGTAGTAAAATAGACCTGACAGTTTGCGAGGATGAAGACTGTAAGGTAAGAAAAAGAGTGCTGTTAATTGCTTCTTTGACAATAAGAGCCATGCTGTTTGTGATCTTAGAAGGAATTTCTTCATCTAGGGGTATTCACTTGGGTCCTGACGCCATAGATGGATAAAAAATAAAGCGGACTACAGCATAAAAGAGCTTCTTAGTTGCAACTTTACTTACTTTAACCACATAAAATTGGCAAATATAATAATAATATTAATAGTAGTAATAATAATACATTTTATTTATAAGTGCCTTTCAGGACACCCAAAGACACTTACACAGCAAATAAAAACATTCAGAAGCATAAACAAGATAGACAATGTATGAATTAAATAATGAAATATACACAATAGACACACACACACACACACACACACACACACACACACACACACACACACACACACATACACACATATATATATATATATATATACACATACATACATACACATTTATATACATACATACTCAAGTACAAAATTTGAGGTATATGTTACTTTCTAGGACCACTGTGATCATGTGGACAGCTCCAACTGCAATCCCCAGGATGGCTCCCTTTGCAGCACACCCATCAAAAGCAAAGAGAACCAAGGTAGAGTACATAGAAGCCAAATGTGCAGCAGCTGTGTGGTGTCCTGACTTCCTCTGAATAAGACACAGTGTTTGTGTAAGTACATTATAGCTGGGTCATAGCCACATGTTCCCACACAGGTTTGGTTCCAGAGAGCCCTACCTTTTTCAACTCCAGCCCCTTCAAAGTCCTCTCCCCTCAGCCACCGAAGTTCCTCAAGTCTCTGCTGCCTGTCAAAGAAGAGAACAAGGCGAAGAAAGCCCTGGAGGCCCGGCCGCTGCTGGGACAAGAGGTAAGGAAGGAAGGGATTACACTATCTCTCGCTCAAGAGGGAAGTATGTTCTTGCCATGTTGTTCTCTTTCCCATTGAAGTTTTCTTCAATCCCACATGTCCTTGTTTTGGTAGTCCTCTGTCAAAGAACATTTTTACATTTTACATCTCCACAACATGATACAGACATTACTAATTGTTCAAAGCTGCCTGAGGATTTTTAAGAAAGTGGCTTTGCTGTTGTGTGACTGGATGAAAAACAAACGTGATGCTGCTATCAGCATGACTCACAGGAGCATGACTTCAACTGGGGATAGCCACAACTCTTGACTAGATGGAGCCATGCTGTAAAGTCTCATGTCTGATTTTGTCGGAGATAATTGGATTTTTCACATAGTTTGTGGCTGTTCCAACAATTTCAACTAACCTTGCATAATTTTTTTTTTATCTCTGCTTGAAGTGGACTAAAGGAGGTGCTCGTACTTTACAAATATAGTGCCTGTCAGGGCTGCTGTGTTTGGGAGGTGGAGGGCTTTAGTTGGCAGCGAAATGGTTCAGTAAGCGGCAGGATTAAAGCAAAAGAGAGGGGAGAAGTATGACTGCAGGGGAAGATAAATCACTGTAGCTTGGATAAAAATTGTCTTTTGTGTGATATTAAAATTTAGATGTTTGCTATAGGCTATAATAATGTGTGGATATGAGAAAACAAGTGTCAAGAAGCTAAAAGACATATGGACCGTGCACTGTGCAAAAGAAGTTTTGGTGCAATGAAAAGTACTGCTCACACACCTTGGACACTTCAAGCATAGTTTTTTTTTTTTTTTTTGAAATATTAAACTGCATGCCACTAACTGTGTAACTGGCTTGCCCAGCTCCATGCATGCTGTGTGTGTGTGTGTGTGAAGTGTGTGCTGTTGTTCTTGACACTTGTTTTCTTCATAATCCACACATTATTATAGCCTTATAGCAAACATCTAAATTTAATATCACACAAAAGACAATTTTTTCCAAGCTAAGGATTTATCTTCCCCTGCAGTCATACTTCTCCCTCTCTTTTGCTTTAATCCTGCCGCTTACTGAACATTTTCGCTGCCAACTAAAAGCCTCCACCTCCCAAACACAGCAGCCCTGACAGGCACTATATTTGTAAAGTACGAGCACCTCCTTTAGCTCCACTTCAAAGCAGAGATAAAAAAAAATTATGCAAGGTTAGTTGAAATTGTTGGAACAGCCACAACTATGTGAAAAATCCAATTAATCTCCGACAAAATCAGACATGAGACTTTACAGCATGGCTCCATCTAGTCAAGAGTTGTGGCTATCCCCAGTTGAAGTCATGCTCCTGTGAGTCAATGCTGATAGCAGCAATCACGTTTTGTTTTTCATCCAGTCACACAAACAGCAAAGCACTTTCTTAAAAATCCTCAGGCAGCTTTGAACAATTAGTAATGTCTGTATCATGTTGTGGAGATGTAAAATGTAAAAATGTTCTTTGAGCAGAGGACTACCAAAACAAGGACATGTGGGATGAAGAAAACTTCAATGGGAAAGAGAACAACATGGCAAGAACATACTTCCCTCTTGAGCGAGAGATAGTGTAATCCCTTCCTTCCTTACCTCTTGTCCCAGCAGCGGCCGGCCTCCAGGGCTTTCTTCGCTCTTGTTTCTCTTTTGACAGGCAGCAGAGACTTGAGGAACTTCGGTGGCTGAGGGGAGAGGACTTTGAAGGGGCTGGAGTTGAAAAAGGTAGGGCTCTCTGGAACCAAACCTGTGTGGGAACATGTGGCTATGACCCAGCTATAATGTACTTACACAAACACTTGTGTCTTATTCAGAGGAAGTCAGGACACCACACAGACTGCTGCACATTTGGCTTCTATGTACTCTACTTGGTTCTCTTTTGCTTTTGATGGTGTGCTGCAAAGGGAGCCATCCTGGGGATTGCAGTTGGAGCTGTCCACATGATCACAGTGGTCCTAGAAAGTAACATATACCTCAAAATTTTGTATTGATTGTATTGTATGTATATAAAGTTGTATGTATGTATGTGTATATATATAATTATATATAATATATATATAGGATACCTAGTATATATATATATATTATATATATACATCCTGGAGGTATCCTGGAGGTATATATATATAGTTCGAGGTATCCTTATATATATATAGATATATATATATTATATATGTGTGTATGTGTGTGTGTGTGTGTGTGTGTGTGTGTGTGTGTTGTGTGTGTGTGGGTGTGGTCTATTTGGTATATTTCATTATTTAATTCATACATTGTCTATCTTGTTTATGCTTCTGAATGTTTTTTATTTGCTGTGTAAGTGTCTTTGGGTGTCCTGAAAGGCACTTAAAAAAATGTATTATATTACTACTATTAATAAATTATATTTGCCACAAATGTGGTTAAAGTAAGTAAAGTTGCAACTAAGAACTCTTTTATGCTGTAGTCCGTTTTTTATTTATCCATCTATGGCGTCAGGAACCAAGTGAATACCGATAGATGAGAAATTCCTTCTAAGATCACAAACAGCATGGCTCTTATTGTCAAAGAAGCAATTAACAGCACTCTTTCTACCTACAGTCTTCATCCTCGCAAACTGGTCAGGTCTATTTTACTAACATGAAGACTGGAGAGCAAGACAAAAACATGTTTTCAGCCTCGTCATTTTTTTATAAACAGTCATTTCCATGTGGTTCGGAGTGGGCAGTGAGTGATGTGTTCATTACATGCTGTACATTTGGTGTGCTGATACTCCTTCTTAGGTGTCTTCCCTTAGCAGCGAGCGCTTCCTTCACTGTCACAAGCAGCCTGCGGGGAAAAGAAGAGAAAGGTGCCTTCTTTACATGTCACTCTATGGATTGAAATCTTTTTTCGCACTATTTCTGCACTAAATCATACTATAAGTATACAATACCTGCCGTAGCCTCTCTAGACTGAGGATTGTTCTCTACTTCCAGAACTCCCCGTGTGTATTTCTCTATGTAGGTTTCTCCATCCTGAGTCCTCTCGTGTCACCGCGCGAGCAGCCATGAGGCCAAGGTTTCCCTCTCCTCTGGCTCTCTGAGGCCTGGAAAAGGAAAGAGAAAGAAACTTACAAAGTGTTGAAGAAGATGAGCCCCAATCTGGTTACCTTGGCAACACATGGGAAAGCAGTAAGATAGAGTGTTTAGCAGAGTTGTACCTTTGTATGTTGGAACACGGATCTCATAAGTCACACCACAGGAGTAAAGTGTGTTCTTTAGAGACATTCTTCTCTTGAGACTCTGAGTGAAACTCTGCATTGAAAAAAAGAACAAAAAACGTTTCAAACATTTAAACAAGATCCAGATGAACACCTAACCTCACCCTGGGCTGATGTCAATCTGATCCCATTCACCTGTTTTGTTATAGATGTTGACAGCGATCCTCTTGGGAGCAACCAGCTCCATGGAGCAGGGTGCTGAGCTGCACCGTGGCTTTATGATCAGGTAGATGCGTTCGTTAGGAACGTGACCCGGTTGAGGTGCACAGAATCATGGATGATGAGTCCCAGGAGCACACAGCAAGACACCTGGGGAACGAGAAGAGTTGTGATTTATTGATGTAGCTCCGCAGTGGTCTGCAGAGAGAATGCTGGTTGTGCCATCATGCTGTAACTGCACACACAGAGACACGGATCACAGTCATGTAGGTGGGCTGTCGATTCGGGTTTGCAGCAGACATGACATGACATATAGCACAGTGAAAGTGGTAGTGTTAACTCTGTGTGGTTAGTGCTGCTGATCAAAGTCAAAGAAGGAGAAACTATGATTATGTTTAAATGCTTGCTTCAACTTGAGAGAGGGGGTAAGAACAGCTGTAAACATCAATGTACTGTATAATTAAACAAATTACCTGGAGTTGCACTAGTGAGTTTGAGATGATATAACCCCAAATTACTTCTTTTCCATTTCACTGCTAGAGATATTTTTCATCTAACTTTCAATTTATGTATTTCAGGTCCCATTTTTTACGTGAAAAGGAGTATGTTGAATTTTATTATTATTATTATTATTATTATTGATATCATTAGTTAATGTCCCCCCTCAATTTTTTTTTCTTTTTTTAAAGGTAGTTTCTACGACATCCAAGTGAGTTATTTTCCTGTTTATTATTAATCTCATTTCTTACTTATCCATCTTTGGTTGAGAAGAAAACACAAGGATAATTTTTTCTAGTAAGTGAAAGTCTACAGGAAGATCAAGAAGGCCATAGGCTATTTCCTTTTTCCTGTTATTTACATATTAACACTGCATTGAAGGAGTAAACATTTCCCTTTATCATCATCTATTGATTTAACTGATCAAAACTGTAACGACAGTTTGCTGATGAAAATGTGGGGAGGGAGAAGCCACCCACACCCATATTTTATTTTACTGTCCTGTTCTGCAGCAAATTGGATGTGAATAAGTAAAGTTATGGATATTATTTTTCAGTGCAAGAGTTATTACTTTAGAACACAGCCACACATCTCTCAACAAACTGATAAGTTTCTTCTTAGAATATGAAGAGTAGCGGTGCTTTAACAGATAACAAAAAAATGGCTGAAACCAAAGGCACCACAACTAATGTTAGTTCTTTTTGTTCCTTTCTGAGAATAACTACGGTAAATGCTTATATGCAAGATGTAATCAATTACCAAGCTCTGTATTTGTTCAATAAGGCAACAGATTAAAAGGAAAAAAGTGTTTTCCTGCAATTAAGGCAGTAAAAAAAACATAATTCATCATGAGGTCTTTGTAAAAACAGCTTGAATTTTTACAAAAAATACTACAGCCCAACCGTATTTGAAGAAGCAATGGAAAGTGCCAATACTTTAAGTAGTTTTGCAGTACAATACAATACAAGTACAATACAAGTGTAGTCTTGCAGAGGAATGTGGTCATCAGACAAAGCACAAACCTCTGAAACTACAACTGTAAAGGGAAACTGACACACAAAAGCAGCATCACCAAGAAACCCCCACGCATGCCAGCCATGCCATGCTTATAGAAACATAAATGCACAAAAACATAGCACATCTTCTGAAGTGTGGTTCCCCAAATTCCTCTTTTTGACCACAGGAGGGCAGAAAAGTCAAACCCCACTGCTCACCTCCTCAACACTGTGCCTGATGATGGGCAGATAGAAGAACTGGGCTTTCCATGCTCCTTAGGCAGGATAGAGTTAACGCCTGCGGCATGTGGGCCGGTCAGCTGCTCATTCACTGTCAGATTATCCGCTGGTGTGTAAAAGAGAGTTAGCGTTTATAAAGCCTGAGAGAGAATCTGTCAAATATTAGCTGACATACAGGATGTGTCTGCTCACCATTCAAATCCAGGAAGAGTACAGGGATGTGAGCTTCCATTCTGTAGGTGGGGTCCCTACAAGCCGTTGAATATGAGGTTAATGTTAAAAAAAAAAAAAAAAAAAAAAAAAAAAAAAAAAAAAAAGGGCTGCAAATGAAAGTGAATCTGACGTGTGATTGAGAGAGTGTTTATAGTTTTTTTTTTTTTTTTTTTTACCAGTCTGCAGGAGCTCCAGGGATGCACTCAGGTGCAGGTACCAGCACTGCATTCTCTCTTCTGTCAGTCCAACCACTGCTCCACCAGCCGAGCCTCACGCTCAATGTCCTCCTCTGACTTTCCTGGATTTTATAAAGTGAGGGAAAAGAGAGTTTAATCACAACACACTGAAACAATAAGAAATTGCATAAAAAAAGAAGAGAACTAATCTTAAGCACAGAGCCAAGGACTCACCGTGTTTGTTGATGATTTTCTTGATTTGTTCGTCAAGGTAACTCCCGGCGTTTGATCAGGGCTTCTGACCAGCGCTCTCTAACACAGTTGAGATCTTCTTCCTGGAAGCACACAGATCTAAAATCAATGCCAGCTGGCTCAGTGAGAAGAGGAATCTGCTGGCAGGCTCAGATAAGTGTTACCAGGGGATGGCAAGGGCTGAATAGCATATGCACTTCTTAACGCCCACAAGCTAATATAATTAGAAAAGCCAAGTGAAGCTAATCTTGATAAAAAAGTTCCCAACACAAAGATGTTTAAAAATTCAAAGCCTTCAGGCCTGTGTTTTTGGTTCAAGAAAAATGATTGTTGTTAAATTTTCATAACACAACCACAAAACCTCCCTTTCGCCCGTTAACAACTCACACACATCCGCACACATGCCATTCACAAACACTTGCCTATATTGCCTCACATGCAGCCACAGCCACCCAAAGGTCCTACCTGGATCACAGCAGATCACCACAGAGAGCAGATTCCCCTCTGGCATTTGTCCAAAGTAACCAATAAACCTCAAAACCAAATGCATTACGTTTCTGACGTCAGACACACGTCCACCATGCAAAGTACTGTAAATCATGCAGCCATGCAATGCCATGTGATTAAGTTGGGCTTATTATTCCTGCAGCTCTTCCGGGAAGTGACGAAGCAAACAGTAGCAATTAGTGTTGTGAACCTGAGCG